ATAATATTTAAATAGTTATTAAAAAAATTATATTAAAAAAACCAATTCCAAAAATTTATGACTCACACTGTATATGAAAAAAAAAAAAATAATAATAAAGTATTTTTTCAGTTCAACAGATCTATTATAGCGAGAGCAAATTATATATTGAAAAATTTTTTAAAAAATTATTTTAATATTATAGCTTTATATTTAATTGCTTTAATTAATATAGCTTATTTTCCAACAATTTAAATATTTTTTAAAAATGGAACATGAAAATTTATTTGATAACATGCAATACTTGTATAAAGAAAGTTGTAGTTTAATGAGTCATGATAATAATAACAATGACAATGTTAATACAAGCAATTTATTAGAAACCACTTCAATTATTTCAATAATTTTTAGAAGCAAAACATGGAAATATTTTATAAAAAGTTTAAATTTTAAAAATAACAAAAAGGCTACTTATAAATATTATAAAACAGTATATACATATAATAAAAGTAATACTTCTAATCTTATAAAACATCTTGAAAAAACTTATTCAGCAAAATTAAATTTAATAATTAATAATTTCAATATAGTAAATTTTTTTAAAACAAAGGTAATTTTTGAAATATTTCAAAATTGTAAAAAATATTATTAAATATTATTTATACAGTCAGATCTCCATATAGTTACTACTTCGGATTCACTAAAATTGGTGATTGTATAGAAGTGTAACTGTAAAAAGATACCTCTATATAATCCCCCTTATATTAAAAGTTATACATAGTGACTATATAGAGTTTTTAAATCTAAAGCCTGTGACCTTTGTGTTTTGTTTCTGCTGCTACGTTTGTCTGAAACTGTGGTTTTCGGCTTATTTGAATCTCTCCCACCCACATGTCAAGGTGTTCTTGTTTGGATATAGGTAGAAAAGAGATGCATACAATAACACACATTATTTGTACACAACCTCACATTATATGTTATACTACAAGTCATCAAATGGGTGCAGGAGTGAATTGGTTCATGGAATGGAGAGTTTATGTATTGTGGACACAGAAAATTTGTAATATGCTAGCGTTTAGAACATGAAGGTGTGAAGAGTGAACGAAAGGCTGGAGGTGTCCTATTCCAATATTAATACAAAGAATAAACACTAAATTTCAAAAAGCATGGTTGTAATATTCAACTACTAGTAACAGAAGCTATTTGTAAAGCATTGAGATATCGAAAAGCATCTACAACTTTGAAAGATATTCTTACTAAGTATGATGATATTACTGAATGGCATCCTACTGGCATTGGGTGCATTGATTGAAGGATGTGGATACAGTTTTTAATACCTTGGACCTGGAACCATGCATTTGACTTATGCAAGACAGTTGTACACCCTAGGTTAAATAAGACAAATATAAAGCACTTGAACATATTCAAAATTAGTTAATATGAGATATGCTGATAAGTTTTTCGAAACTTATTGCTGTTGATGGAGAAGTTAGAAAACTCAGAGTAATTTGGGTAATTGAGATGGAATTAGAACCATGAGTTGCCGAGAGTGGAAAGGGTAACTTGGGATGTCATTATTAGGATTGGAATTGGAGTCACAGAAGATAAAGCATTTGAGTATCTGAGATGTTAAAGTCAGAAATCCTAATGAACGGGATGGCCTGGGAGGTTGTTATCAAGATGGAGGTAGTGTATACAGAACATAATGTCGGCTACAAATCGGTTAAAATGATAAGAATATAGCATTAAAATATTATTAGCAATTAGCTGAGACCGATAATTTACATGAAGCATTTAGTGTGGAGTATAAAGAATATAAGAAAGCAATGCAAGCATGGTCGGCTGGGTACTTCCTAAAACGGACTAGTAGTTAGATTATGGTATGTTTTTGCAATATAACTGTGTACTCTCTGCAACATGCTAATAATTATAGACACAGCTACGTATTCCTTGCATGTGTTAGAAATTTTTGAGCATGGGATATGAGGTATACTTGAAAGGTGATGTGCCACATTTTCTTGACTAATATATTATTTTGGTTTTCTTTGTCAAAAAGTTTATCTTCAACTTACCGATTTCTCATTTCTCACTCATAATGCCGGAGTCTGGATTAAACAATGAGCGCAGCTGGATATTTACAACAGTTTGGACATGGCTGTGAACTTTCCGCACTGTAGTTAAAAGGTTGGATACAGGCGGAAGGCTATAATATGCATATGGAGACATCCTAGGAAGGCAAGGTTCTGTGTTTGGATTTTGAAATTATAGTGTTTTCTGAGTTTATTTTCAACCCGCTGATTTTCATTTCACTTACATAGCTAATTCTAACAGAACAATAGATCAGTGGTATTTTCTTTGAGTGAACATGACTATGCATTCCCTACAACATATTGTATGCATATGGCTGTATACTCCCACAACGTGCCAGAGATTTGAAAGACGGCTGCGTACTTCAGCAATGGGATAGTGATTTGAGCATGGGTGCGTGCCCCGCAATATGTTGGCATTTCGATCATGCTTGTGTCCCCCCGCAACATGTTATGCCCTGGGTTTAGTACCCTTAAAGTGCTATTGTATAAAATATAAAGGGAATATTTTTTGGAAGCATCTATACTATGATGCTCTTTACTACTGTCTCTTCTATTTGACATGGGCGGCACACACATACACAATTCCTGTAACTCTTTTCATCGACTTTAGTTAGAAATGACGGGTCGGCAACAGAGGATTCAGGATGATGATGGATTCAGGATAGTGGTGGATTCAGGATGATGATGAAGGGCTTGGGATTCAAGCGAGAATAAAAAAAATTACTTACGATTAAGAAATTTTTTTATTTGTTATTAAATGATTAATGATTAAACGTTATATTAAATTTATTTATTAAACATTATA